CTTTGGGAACCCCTGCCCCAACTGAGGGTACGTCTAGACTACATGCCTCTGTCACCAGAGGCATGTAGATTAGGCTACCCGACATAGTAAAATGAAGCGGCGATTTAAATAATCGCTGCTTCATTTAAATTTACATGACTGCCGCGCTGAGCCGACAAACAGCTGATCAGCTGTTTGTCGGCTCAGCGCGGCAGTCATGTAAATTTAAATGAAGCAGCGATTATTTAAATCGCCGCTTCATTTTACTATGTCGGGTAGCCTAATCTACATGCCTCTGGTGAGAGGTTTACTGGGGAGGTCGACAAATGCCTTTGATGTCGACCGCAGAGCGTCCATACTGTGCCGCCAAACAGCACTGTGCTGCCAAACAGCTGATCGGAACAACACAGCAGCCATTTTAATTTAAATGAAGCGACGATTATTTAAATTGCCGCTTCATTTTACTATGTCGGGTAGCCTAATCTACATGCCTCTGGCGACAGAGGCATGTAGTCTAGACGCACCCTCAGTCTCCTCTGAAACAGGCAAAAGATTAAATCTGCCTCCCAAAATGTTGCCTTTATACTGACAGCCGGCAATGCACTTCCAGGAGATGGTTCAAGATAAACCTCACAGCTTAAATACACCGAAGTGTCATGGGTACAAACCCAGGAGAGTCACTCTAGATTTATGCTGATGTTAATAAGTTTTGGCCTGATTGTCCACCTCCTCCCAGCCCCGACCTACTGAGGATCCTCTCCATGTATATGATGAGGCAGGAGATCTGGCCCTATGCCATTGGCTCTCGCCAGCCTCGTGAAACCAGGTTTACCTGTGCTGATCAAGAAAGGCTTCTTTGTCGGTGCGTCGTGTCCAGACTGCCCCGATCTGCCGACAAACAGCTGATCGGCAGAGCGGGGTTTATTTTAACCGCGGCTTCATTTCCCTCTGCCGATCTGGCTAATCTACATGCCTCCGTCGACGGAGGCATGTAGTTTAGACGTACCCTGAGTGGCCTTTCCATGAAGGGAAAAACCATGGGGGTCGGAAAGTAAAATCTCCGTGAGCGAGGGCTGGGAGCTGCTGAACTGTGAGAGTCTGCCCAGCCCGAGTCACCAGACTCGGCATTGCTAACACTGAAAAGGGCTGCGTAGAGGGTGCTGGGAAGGCAAAACTCCTGCTTTGAGGGGGGTGGTGTCAGAGTCCAAATCCCGCCCGAGCTGCAGCTTCAAAGCGCTTATCTGCACAGCTGTTTTTAGGGCGCTAGCGCGAGCAGAGCCCATCAGCCCAGACGGGGAGGCTGCAGACGCGCCTTCCAAGAGCACAACGTCTGCTGGAGTTGGCAGAATTCTGGGATGCTATAGAAGGGGCGGGAGAGAGACAAAGCGAAGGCGTTGTGGTTGCCGCTGCTACCCCATTGCTGGTACCCCCGATAGTGATGCAAGATGTCGGGAGAGAGTGGTGCCTTTTTCCAGGAGGGCAAAGGTTGATGGGGCAGCCCCCAGCCCTGCCTGCAACTCTTCCCCTTCTGCTGAGACCCCCCCCACAGGAGCCAAGCCACCACCCCCACAACACCATGGGGAGGTGGGGCAGCGCGTAGCTCCAGCCTCGGAACACTGGGGAGGGAGGCGGGTGTGTGACCCCAGTCTCCTCCAGGGGTACGCAGCCCCCAGCCTGGGGAGGGTGGGTGCTACAGTAGGTGTTCTGTGGGCGGGGCCAGGGTGTGGGCGGGGCAAAGCCTTTCCCCACCTAGCATACTCCTGGCAGAGGAGAGTGCAGGGAGCTCTAGAAACCTTCAGGGCAGATCACAGCAACACCTGACTAAGGTTGCCAGGTGTCCGGTTCTGAACTGGGCAGTCCAGTATTTGAGCTTTCTGTTCGGGGAACAAATCAGAAAATATCAATGTCCGGTATTTTCTAAATAAGATGTAATGGAGATTGTGATGAAATGTCAAGTGTGTCCGGTAGTTTTGTTGAAGCCACCTGGCACCCCTACACCTGGCAGTCTCTCCGACTGGTGCAACCAACCCCCGGGCTTCGGCCTTTGGCTCTGGGCCCCTCGCTACCAGCCAGATATTGCCAGGCCAGAAAGGGCCCAACAGAGCTGATCAGAGAGATCTATCCACAGGGTGGGAAGAGTTAAGGGTAGCTTGGCTGGGGGTCCGCCCAGGGCAGGCATGATAGCAACAGACAAATATTTGAGGGGCGTGACCACCAAGGAGAGGGAGGGGGATCCTTTGGGGTGGAACAAGCAACAGGACTGGCAGTAATACCATGAAGGCAGAGCAGATTTTAGGCCGATTATCAGAGCCACTTCCTGGTAGCAAGGGTTGTGGACGCCTCGTCCCAAGGAAAGGATGGACGGCCCAGCTGCTGGGCTGCACAAGGGCTGTGCCCGTTGCACTGGCAGCAGATGGGACAGGCTCATAGGACCTGTCTCTTGCTGACTTCTGTGATCAAGACTAAGGCAGGCTGGCTGGCTGGCGCCCAGCTCCCCTCCCCATCAGGTGCTAGGCGGGGGAAGGCTCTGCCCTCCCAAACCGCCAGGCATGGCCCCGCCCGCATGCCGCCCCCAGAACGCCTGCTGTAGGGGTAGCACCCACCCTCCCCATGCTCCAGGCTGGCTGGGGCCGCATGCCTTCCTCCCTCCCTGCTGTTCCTCCGCACCCCCACCTCCCTGTGGTGCTGGGGAGGGGGGTGTTGCTTGGCTTCTCTGGGGGGGATCTAGGCAGAAGGGGCGGGACTGGGGCAGAGCTGGGGGCTTGCCTCTCCCAGCCCTACCTCTGCCCTCTGTCCTCCTGCAATATCGGAATTGTTCCTCTGTAGAATGCAGTGCCCTCTCCCCGGCCTGGTACCAGGGCCCTGGGAATAATTCCCCGAGGGGACTGAGATGATCACTGGCTGTATCAACACCCGTAGGTCCCAGGGCTCCTCTAACTGGCATGTTCTCCTTTCGCTCACGGGGGCTGAAGCCTCGTTCTCTGCTGCAGAGGCCAGAGGGGCAGGGTAGGAGGCAGAAGAAAGCGGAGTCAACAATGTTCAATTTCCTGTTTGCTGTTCAGCTAGTAAAACGTGGTGCGTGTGCATGTGTGGTGGAGGCTGACTGTGCGACGTCACGTAGTTTCAAGTCTCTCTGCTGGGTGGCAGAGGGATGTCTTAGGGGTGGGTTAGGGTGGAGCTGAGTGGTGGGGGGTGGGGGAACGGTCCTGAGCATTGGTTCAACTTTTCTTTGGCCTCGTCTGTGAAGTTTGAGTGTTGGCTTTCCATGGGCATTCGCGCTTGGCGAGGAGACTCCTTCATTGACTCGATGTCACTAAACAGGGTGGGATGGGAGCAAAACGTGTCAGACAAATAACTCATGTGGTGGATTTATCTGTGGAAAGGGGATTTGCATGGGGGCTGTGCCAAGGGGATATGGAGGTGGTGAACGTGCCAGGCCGACTGAGTATGTAAATAGCTGCCGAGGGGCCATGCCCCTGTGTCTGGAGAGGGCTGCACCTGTGTGAGATGTCACTAAACAGGGTGGGATGGGAGCAAAACGTGTCAGACAAATAACTCATGTGGTGGATTTATCTGTGGAAAGGGGATTTGCATGGGGGCTGTGCCAAGGGGATATGGAGGTGGTGAACGTGCCAGGCCGACTGAGTATGTAAATAGCTGCCGAGGGGCCATGCCCCTGTGTCTGGAGAGGGCTGCACCTGTGTGAATGGGACTTTGGCTCTCCGAGGGAAATTTCTGGTTCGGTTGCAGAGGCTGGATGACCTTGGTCAAGTCACTTGCTCTCTCCCTGCCTCTGTTCTTCATCTGTTCAGTGGGGAGAATGAGACTTCATTCCCACCCTCCCAGGTCGGTTGGAAGTTGCTCTCGACTGGCACTACAGTAACGGGGTCCAGGTACTCAGAGCCAGAATATCTGGTGTGCTTGGCCTCTTTATCCCACAAACCTGAGCATGGGTGGCCGTTATCATAACCTTTCCCCAAACAGCTCCGCCCGCAGGCATGCCAGGCTGTTTGCCAAAACTGCTTAAAAATCGCAGAACTTTGGCTTGTTTCAGGCTTAATGGGCGTGTGGGTTGGTGAGTTTTTGGCTTGTGGGTTTTTTTTAATGGGCTCCCAGCAAGCAGAGACAGGGCAGGGATTTGGGGGGGGGGGGGTTCAGAGGTGCACAGTAGACCCACCATAGTCCAGCCTGTGTGCGGGGGGATCTAGTTACAGAGTGTTGGGGATCTTTCAGGGGTTAGCTTATTGGTTTGGCCTTGTTTTCAAATGGGATTCGCTTGGGTTTGGCTTCTTGCTTATTTCCAGCATGAAAGTTGGCAACAGTCCATGGCCCAGGCTAGGCCTGGAACCCTGCTGCCAGCGACATGGGGAGCTGCAGCAGGGCTGGGGGGAAAAGGGAGGGGCAGAATGCGAGGGGCTGGCCTCCCCCAGCAGTCAGTTCACCCCTGGCCTAAGGCCCTGAGACAGGCCCATGCTGCCCTCGCCAGTTCTCTGGATCTAACATGCTCTAGAGCTGGCCAGGGCCGGCCCTAGACCAGATGGAATATCTGTAGCACCCCCTGCCCCCCTCTAGTACACACTCAAGCACCTGATTTTGCATTGCGTTTGTAGCCCCTTGCATGTGCCCTGGTCATATAGGAGGTAAATTGGCAAGCTCAGTATTTCTTCATGCTAATCACAAAGCCAGTCTCCCAAACGTGGTGCCCCTGTCGGCCATCTGGCTCCTGCCAAGGGTCAATGTCCCTGTCCAGCCACGGGAGGGTCCCAGCTCCTGGGTGTCAAGTGAGCGAGGGTCTGGCAGAGGCCAGGTTCTGATGCCAGTTGGTCCAGCCAGAGCTCCTGTGGCTTGGGAGCCCTCCAGCTCCAATGGGAGCCCCGGGGGCACCGGCCGCTGCCCTGCCCATCTGCATGTCAAAGCGTCGGGCGCTTCAAAGAGACTTTGTGCAGCGGTTGGTGGAGGGGGAGGGAGAGGGAATCTCAGGGTTGCCTGGCCAGTCTGACAGTCTTTTGTTTGCTTTGCAGAGCCTGGACGGTGACCAAGCCATTCTCCAGAGGATAAGGAAATATGTGAAAGCCATTCATAGCTCCGGGCTCGGTAAGTTACGCTCCAGATGCAGCGGTGCGCACTAGAGGGAGGGGGAAGGGCAGGAGCGCCCCGGCCGGGGG